CCTCCAAGTGGCGCTTGAAGAAATGCACCGCAACGTGGCGGTGCGAAGCGACAAGTTGCGTCAGCAAGCGCGTGGACGCCGCGACCGAAAGTCCCAAGTCAAGTTTGCGGGGTTTTCGGTCGGCGATTTTGTGCTCGTTGGATCGGTCGTCAACCGTCCGACAAAATTGGCACTGCATTGGCGCGGACCCTGCCAAGTGACCAGAGTTATCACAGACCATGTGATGGAGACTCAGCAGCTGGTGCCACCGTATGAGTCACGGTCCATCATGCGTGCCGACTGAAGATGTACCACGAAGGTGGTAGAGAGGTGACCGAAGACCTCGAGGCGCAGATCACGTTTGGCGATAGCGGATTTCATGTGGAGCGCCTGGACGAAGCGCGCTGCGTGGATGGCCAACACCAAGTGTTGGTGAAGTGGCTTGGACTCGACGATGAAGAATCGTCCTGGGAACCTGCGGCGAATTTGCTGGACGACATTCCAGTCGTATTTCGCAAGTGGGCGGCATCCAACAACGAAGACCCTGCCGTGGCCGCCCTCATCGAGACACTGGACTTTCCGTAGGAGGGGAAGTGTTCTGCAGCGTGCAGAGCAATTGGGTCGCGCGTTAGTTTGACCCATTGCAAACGGACACACACTCTGTGTGTGGCGTGTCAAAGGTTCCGATACCTTAGTGAAGGTACTGAGTTCTTTAGTGAATGGTATTCAGTAGGCGCCTCATGGCGTGTTAAACCTCGCTAATGTCAGTGTATGTTATGTTTGCTACCTTGACGAAGGTCCCGTGGCCGAAAGCCAAGAAGAAGCGGGAAACAAAACAGCCCCAAGGCGCTTTAGGTCTACCTCAAACGTTATCTGTAGATTTTAAGCGTTGTCAAAACTTCGTCCTTGGATTTTCAGTTTATTCTTGACTATTTGTGCTCCTCTTTCCACCACCGAGCTGTATATGAGACCATTTGTCTTGCGACTTTGCCAGTCGTACAAACAAGTCAAGACGGCATCCTAACTATGTACTGTACTTGTCATAGGTAGGTTGAACCTCGCCCCACGTTTGAACAAGTGTACCACTACCAAAACAAGGTCGTTGGCTGGACTACTTTAGTCAACACGTGCCATTTCACAATAGCAAAATCCGTTTGAGCGGTGGTGACGGCTTCGGCGTCGAGGAGGCCTAATTAACAATACTGGGAAAGACGGAATGCAACGCCCACCCTAACTTCGAGTTGATACAAGATACAGCTGTCCTATTGGCTGTTTAACTACGAATTTCGACCTAATTTATAGCCAATCAAGAAACATGAAATAGAAAATGCAACTTCGACAGGATATTAAATTACACATTTTGAATCACCGAATGCAGCATTCAATAGCTAGTACAGTGAAACTGATTAGAAGAGGTTATGAGTACCTGAAGGATTTCTCACTAACATTTTTATTGATTTTCATTATTTAAATTATAGCCAATCAGAGTCACCAATTTTGATACTTGAGTATGATTGGATAACTCAAAGTGTGACACACAAATATCTTCGGTGGGCGTTGCATTCCGTCCTTCCCAGTATTTAGATTACTAACTGAGGTATCTTACTACGAGGCCGAATTATCAATACTGTATGTAAATTGCACACTGAGGTCTCTTACTACGAATCACTTTTTCTGGTCTATTTTAAGTCTAATCATTTCGTCGAATGGAAATGTCTCAGCAATGCACATATTTCAACCGCACGGCGAATGGCGCCTTACTACACATAATGGAGACTAACGGCCTTACCCATCATGAGACTATGAGCCGACCTCTAAAAAGGTTCATAGGTATTTTTGTAGCGCCATGCAGAACACACCTTCCCCCTAAAGGGAGTGTCTGAGGGTTTTCTCGAGTTCCGCGGCCATTTTCTTCACTTCTTCTTGGTCTTCGCTGAGGCAGTGGATGGAGGCTTGGTCTTGACATCGGCTTCGGGGGTGCTCCAGGCGAAGACATCGCGGACGGCCTTGGTCGTGGCTCCGATTCGTCGATGGCCCGCGGTGCCTTGGTGAGCTATGATGCAGACCCGCTGCTGGAGGTCCGTGGCACTTGGTGGGATCCAGATGCGGTCTTCCTTATCGAGGAACAGGTTCTTGTCTTCATTCCACGCCTCGCCGGTTGGCGGGGTCTCCCCCCTCTTCATGACCACTTGTTGGGTCTTGCCAATGCCGGCAGGACTGGGCCAATCGAAGTCGGGTTGCTATAGGGGCGACACCATGGCCAGGAGGCACCGGACGGACTTCGTTGACACTTGGGCTTGGGTGGCGTCCCAGAGGCTGAGCAGGTCGTCCCACACATTGTCTTCACCGGACAGGCAACCGATGGTGTAAGGGAACGAGGACAGCAACAGGACCCAGCGCTCCAACTCGTGCGCTTGATATCTTGCCATGCTTGGGGACTGGACGGCAAGATTGAAAATGTATCGCAGGTTCTTGTGGTCGGTGAAAAGGCGGAAGCGAGCTGGGCGGATGAGAATGTAGTCCACCGCTTGCAGCTTTCCACAACGGCAAACGCTTCCTTCACCACGATTGGCCAACGCTCACTTGCTCCAGTAAAGGCGCCGCTGAGAAAGGCTAAAGGCTGGTGGCGCTGGTGGAACCATGCTTTTTATGCCGCTTGTTTTCCATCACTAACTTGACTTGGCCAATATGGTCACATTTAAGCCACATGTATGTGCCACCTCAAGAAACTAAGTAC